GTCAGTTCGATCAATGGCACCGGGCCGATTGTCGTGGTTCCTCCCCTTTTCGGTGATCGGGCATGTTGGAAAAGTCGTGAAAAATGACCGATTTTCGACTCAACGACGGCCAAATCGTGCGATCACGCCTGTTATATGGGGTGAACTTTATGACTCGGTCGGCCGATATTCGCTCTATTAGTGGGTCAATGGCACCGGCCGATTTTAGTGGTTCCTCTCCTTTTATTTGATCGGGCATGTTTGAAAAGTTGTGAAAAAAACAACCGATTTTCGACTCGACGGTCAAATCGTGCGATCGCGCCTGTTATATGGGGTGAACTTTATGACTCAGTCGGCCGATATTCGCTCTGTCAGTAGGGTCAATGGCGCCGGCCGATTTTCATGGTTCCTCCCCTTTTCTTTGATTGGGCATGTTGGAAAAGTTGTGAAAAAAGACCGATTTTCAACTCAATCGTACGATCGTTTTTCCAAAAAGAATATGCGCACGAGCCGTGACCTGGAAGGAACAGAAGTTTCGCCTGTTATATGGGGTGAACTTTATGACTTGGTCGGCCGATATTCACTCTGTCAGTGGGGTCAATGGCACCGGCCGATTTTCGTGGTTCCTCCCCTTTTCGACTCAACGATGGTCAAATCGTACGATCGTTTTTCCGAAAAGAATATGCGCACGAGCCGTGACCTGGAACGAACGGAAGTTTCGCCTGTTATATGGGGTGAACTTTATGACTCGGTTGGCCGATTTTCGCTCTGTCAGTTCGATCAATGGCACCGGCCGATTGTCGTGGTTCCTCCCCTTTTCGGTGATCGGACATGTTGGAAAAGTCGTGAAAAATGAACAATTTTCGGCTCAACGACGGCCAAATCGTGGATCGCGCCTGTTATATGGGGTGAACTTTATGACTCGGTCAGCCAATATTCGCTCTGTCACTGGGGGGTCAATGGGGGGCCGGCCGATTTTCATGGTTCCTCCCCTTTTCGGTGATTGGGCATGTTAGAAAAAGTTGTGAAAAATGACCGATTTTCGACTCGACGGTCAATTCGTGCGATCGCGCCTGTTATATGGGATGAACTTTATGATTCGGTCAGCCGATATTCGCTCTGTCAGTAGGGTCAATGGCGCCAGCCGATTTTAGCGGTTCCTCCCCTTTTCTTTGATCGGGCATGTTGGAAAAAAATGTGAAAAAAGACCGATTTTCAACTCAAATCGGTTGATCGTTTTTCCGAAAAAGAATATGCGTGCGATCACACCTGTTATATGGGGTGAACTTTATGACTTGGTCGGCAGATATTCGCTCTGTCAGTGGGGTCAATGGCACCCACCTGGGCCGATTGTCGTGGTTCCTCCCCTTTTCGGTGATCAGGGCATGTTGGAAAAGTCGTGAAAAATTACCAATTTTCGACTCAACGACGGCCAAATCGTGGGATCGCGCCTGTTATATGGGGTGAACTTTATGACTCGGTCAGCCGATATTCGCTCTGTTAGTGGGGTCAATGGCACCGGCCGATTGTCGTGGTTCCTCCCCTTTTCGGTGATCGGGCATAATGGAAAAGTTGTGAAAAAAGACCGATTTTCAACTCAATCGTACGATCGTTTTTCCAAAAAGAATATGCGCACAAGCCGTGACCTGGAAGGAACAGAAGTTTTGCTTGTTATATGGGGTGAACTTTATGACTTGGTCGGCCGATATTCGCTCTGTCAGTGGGGTCAATGGCGCCGGCCGATTTTCGTGGTTCCTCCCCTTTTCGGTGATCGGCCATGTTGGAAAAGTTGTGAAAAACAACCGATTTTCAACTCAACGACGGTCAAATCGTGCGACCGCGCCTGTTTATATGGGGTGAACTTTAATTCTCGGTCAGCCGATATTCGCTCTGTCAGTGGGGTCAATGGCACCGGCCGATTGTCGTGGTTCCTCCCCTTTTCGGTGATCGGGCATGTTGGAAAAGTCGTGAAAAACGACCGATTTTCAACTCAATCGTACGATCGTTTTTTCCAAAAAGAATATGCGCCATGAGCCGTGACCTGGAAGGAACCGAAGTTTTGCTTGTTTATATGGGCTGAACTTTATGACTCGGTCGGCAGATATTCGCTCTGTCAGTGGGGTCAATGGCACCGTCCTGTGTATATGGGGTGAACTTTAATTCTCCTGGCCGATTGTCGTGGTTCCTCCCCTTTTCGGTGATCGGGCATGTTGGAAAAGTCGTGAAAAATTACCAATTTTCGACTCAACGACGGCCAAATCGTGCGATCGCGCCTGTTATATGGGGTGAACTTTATGACTCGGTTGGCCGATTTTCGGTCTGTCAGTGCGATCAATGGCACCGGCCGATTGTCGTGGTTCCTCCCCTTTTCGGTGATCGAGCATAATGGAAAATTTGTGAAAAACGACCGATTTTCAACTCAATCGTACGATCGTTTTTCCAAAAAGAATATGCGCCATGAGCCGTGACCTGGAAGGAACCGAAGTTTTGCCTGTTATATGGGGTGAACTTTATGACTCGGTCGGCCGATATTCGCTCTGTCAGTGGGGTCAATGGCACCGGCCGATTTTCGTGGTTCCTCCCCTTTTCGGTGATCGTGCATAATGGAAAAGTTGTGAAAAAAGACCGATTTTCAACTCAATCGTACGATCGTTTTTTTCCAAAAAGAATATGCGCACAAGCCGTGACCTGGAAGGAACAGAAGTTTCGCCTGTTATATGGGGTGAACTTTATGACTCGGTCAGCCGATATTCGCTCTGTCAGTGGGGTCAATGGCACCGGCCGATTTTTCGTGGTTCCTCCCCTTTTTGGTGATCGGCCATGTTGGAAAAGTTGTGAAAAACGACCGATTTTTGACTCATCGGTCAAATTGTGCGATCGCGCCTCTTATATGGGGTGAACTTTATGACTCGGTCGGCCGATATTCGAAATCATTGATGGCGCCGGATTACCGAGCGAACAACGTTTCCGATTTTCAGATGCAAAATCGTTGGGGATTCGACCCGTGTATGTCCTGCATAACTCCGACTTCATATGTAACTGGGAGAGTTGTATGGAGACACGGCAAAGCTCTTTGTTCCCACGCACGGTACATACCGCGGCTTGTTGTACACGTATTCTACACGCCGCTCGCAGCACTTGTGTTTAACCAGCTGTTTCCCCCGAGCAGGTGCATGATGGGTAATCCACCATCGCGTTCACCATGCACACCACTTCAAAGGGGAGTTCTTACTACACAGCAAAGTGCCGCCAACCAACACCGACCTCACGCTGGGACAATTCTACAACATCGACCTGAAAAAGACAAAAATCAAACATGGGGACGGCGTAGACTTCGAAGGGCTCATGTGCACTGCAGCTGATAAACTGACGTTCAGGAGATGTTCAGCGTTTTTTTCCCAGCAGCCCCTGAACTCTCCCTAATGTTCTCCTATGTGTCTGTGTACACATCGTCGTTCACAGTTTTTTTTGAACGCAGCAAAACTGCGTTCAGGAGTAGATTTTACTGGCATTCCAAACGCGTGTAAGTGCGCGTCACTGCGTTTATAAGCGTTTTTTTTGCCTGGTTCATATCCAGATGCTGTCCGGAGCCTTTTTTCATCATCAGAAATGCACGCAAAGCATTTTTTCATGTATTCAAATGGACCCGAGACACCGGCGCAGTCAGTTCCAGGTTTCGCGTGAAGGATAAAACGGTAGAACGCGCCGCATTATGCGCATGATGGGATCCATAGTGAATACAACCAGAAAAGACCGGTCATCTCCGCACATACTGCTCTCTCTGCTTCTGCTCTCTCTATTTCTCTAAGGGCTCATGTACACTGCGGCTGATAAACTGACGTTTAGGAGCTTTTCTGCGTTTTTTTCCCAGCAGCCTCTGAACTCTCCCTAATGTTCTCCTATGTGTCGTTTACAGGCAGTTGAGTTTACAGTCGGTTTCTTTGAACGCACCAATCTTGCGTTCAGGAGTAGATTTTACCGGCATTTCAAACGCTTATAAACGCGGTTAACCATGTTTATGCGTGTTTGCATTTAGAAGTGTTTTTTTTTTTTTTAACTTTTTCATATCCAGATGCTGTCCGGAGCCTTTTTTCATCATCAGAAATGCATGCACAATGTTTTCCATGTATTCAAATGGACCCGGTACACCGGCGCAGTCAGTTTCCAGGCTTCGCATAACGGTAAAACGTGCCGCATTCTGCTCATGATGGGATCCATAGATCCATCCAACCAGAAAAGACCCGTCATCTCCACACATACGGCTCTCCCTGCTTCGGCTCTCTCTATTCCTCTCAAAATGTCTGAAACAGTTAATTTTTTTACTATTTTTCAGTGCATTCTGGGCATTTAGGAGGGTTTAAAAACGCTCCTAAACGCGGTATGTAAACGCGGCTAAACTGATGTTTTTTTATCCTACGTTTTCCAGCAGTTTCCATCGTTCAGAAGAGTTTTCCAAACGTCCCGTGTACACGAGCCCTAAAAATGTCTGAAATAGTTATTTACTGTTTTTCAGTGCATTCTGGGCATTTTGGAAGGTTTCTTGAGGTTATTTTTTAAAAACGCTTCTAAACGCGGTATGTAAACGCGGCTAAACTGCCAGTTTTTTAACCTACGTTTTCCAGCAGTCGGTTTTCCATCGGTCAGAAGAGTTTTCCAAACGCCCCGTGTACATGGAGCCCTAAAAATGTCTGAAATAGTTTACTATTTTTCAGTGCATTCTGGGCATTTGGGAGGGTCTACAGTGGTTATCTTTTAAAACCGCGCGGTAACTAAACGCGGCTAAACTGACGTATTTTATCCTGCGTTTTCCAGCAGTCGGTTTCCATCGTTCCGAACAGTTTTTACAAACGCCCCGTGTACATGAACCCTAAAAATGTCTGAAATAGTTAATTATTTACTGTTTTTCAGTGCGTTCTGGGCATTTAGGAGGGTCTCCTGAGGTTACCTTTTAACCCACCTCCCGTCCGGATGTTGTATATAAACGGCCGGCACGGTGGCAGTGCAGGGTCGGGTGGCCGTCTATAAACGGCCTCCCCGCACCCTGCTTGTGCGCGCTCCCTGGGAGCGCGCAGCACCGCGATCCGGTGCCCGCTGTGTCCGATCGTCGGAGGGGACCTCTGTACGAGGTCCCGATCATGTGATCACATGATTGGCCAATCAGTGATTACATGCAGAGTAGTAAGCAAGATGTCACTTCTGATATCATTGCTTACTACGTGTGAAATCTGTGAATGATCACAGAGGTCACATGGTACAGGGCTATTCACAACAGCCTTGTACCATGTGACAAGTTGTGATCAATCACAGCTCACTCAGTTCTTCTCAATGACTGCAAGAATGCACACAGAGAGAAAGAGAAATGATTGCTTTTTTACATCCTATATGGGTGTAAAAGCAATCAGTGTAAAGAAAAAAAAAAAATCTTCATCACCCCCCACAAGTAGTACAGTGTCACCACGGTGTACTGCTAGGGTGACAGTATGTAAAAAAAAAAAAATAAAAATAAAAATATAAAAAAATAAAATAAAAATGTAAAAAAAAATGTTTAAAAATTATAATTTTTGCTTATAAACTAATTTGGATTTTTTTTTTTTACTAAAAAGATAACGGAATAAATTTTGGCTAAGATTTATGATGAAATTTTATTTATTTGCAAAATTTTATAAAAAAAACACTTTTTTCAAATATTTTGGACATTTCATTTACATAGCAAAAAAAATACAAATCCCAGCGGTGAATAAATACCACCAAAATAAAGTTTTATCTATCTCAAAAACATGGTAAAAAATTCATATGGGTACAGTGTTGCATGACCGCGCAATTGTCATTCAAAGTGTGACAGCGCAAAAAAGCTGAAAATTGCCCTGGTCAGGAGGGGGGGGGGGGGGGGGGGGGGGGGGGGGGGGGGGGGGGGGGGGGGGAGTGTCCGGACAGGAAGTGGTTAAAAACGCTTCTAAACGCGGTATGTAAACGCGGCTAAACTGCCGTTTTTTTTTAACCTACGTTTTCCAGCAGTTAGCATCGTTCAGAAGAGATCTCCAAACGCCCCGTGTACATGGAGCCCTAAAAATGTCTGAAATAGTTCATTAGTTACCATTTTTCAGTGCATTCTGGGCATTTAGGAGGGTTTAGGTTAAAAACGCTTCTAAACGCGGTATGTAAACGCGGCTAAACTGCCGTTTTTTTAACCTATGTTTTCCAGCAGTTAGCATCGTTCAAAAGAGTTTTCCAAACTCCCCGTGTACATGGAGCCCTAAAAATGTCTGAAATAGTTCATTAGTTACTATTTTTCAGTGCATTCTGGGCATTTGGAGGAGGGTCTCCTGAGGATATATTTTAAAAATGCTTCTAAAAGCGGCTAAACGCTTCTAAACGCGGTATGCAAAACGCGGCTAAACTGACTTTTTTTAACCTATGTTTTCCAGCAGCCAGTTTCCATCGTTCAGAAGAGTTCTCCAAACGCCCCGTGTACATGAGCCCAAGCCAGACGATTGGGCCTTCAAGAGATTGCTGGAGGAGGGGTGGGGGGGGGATGGATGGAAGCAGCAGATGGAGGACAATAGCACCCAGGACAGGTTATCCATCAATGTTTAATAGCAGAGCAGCCGGCCAGCTGTCCTCTGCCTCCCCCATGCAATAATGGCAGTCTTGCTTTTGCAGGTTCTTGGGGTACACGGTCATTGGGGGGGGTTCTACAAATAGCAAAGGTCAGCAGTTTAGAACTCAACCAGCTTTATTGACTATCCCCATCAAAAATACAAATTATTACTAGCAGCACCTCCACCACTGTGGAGTGTTTCTAAAGTGAAAAGTTTTTTTGGTTTTTTTTTTAAACCTTAATACATTATCTCCATAAAAAGTAAAAAAAAAAAAAAAAAAAACAAAAAAAAAAAAAACACTTGTCCCCCCCCCCCCCCACCCTTAAGACCTCCCTTGCTACTGCCACCCCTCAACTGCAGCACCGCTCCCTTCACGAGACACACAAAGCAGCAGAGTCATTGGCTCCTGCTGATGTCAGTCAAATTCCTGTAAGGAGGGATCAGGGGTGTGGCTTACTGGCACTGTGTGCATCTATAGACGCACACAGCCTGGCTTGGAAGCGCACACAAGGGTGTCTCCTAAGCAATGGGAGGATGCACACCGATGCGGGAGAAGGTGATGGCGCCTGCAGGGAACTGCTAAAAGGGTAGGTAAGTACTTTTCTATACAATATCGTTGCACAGAGCAGGTAAGTATAATATCTTTTATTATTGAAAAAAAACAAAAAAAAAAAAAAAAAAAAACCCCAAAAAAAAACTAAAAATCCCCCCCAAAAAAAACAAAAAAAAAAACCAAACCCCCCCCCCCAAAAAAAACAGCCTTTATCATTACTTTAAGTCCATCTCTGAGGCCCCTTTCAGGCGGGATGACTTTGTTTTGATCAAAAGGGCATCTGTGCACCGATTGGTGCAGAGCGGGCAGATGACAGGTCAGTGTCTGCTCAGTTTCTGCAGAGCGGACCCAGACAAAGCTCACTCTACTGTCCGATTACACCCGACTGCCCTTCGATTCAATCTTTGGAAAGATCACGTTTTTTTTTTCCAAGCGGATTGGAGGTAGGCGGGTATAAAACAGACAAGTCCATTTACACCTGCCGGTCCATAAGGGTGAACGGACCATCCAATCAGGTCCGCCTGAAAAACTGACAGTGGACCAGAGGCTGAAATGAAAAAAAAAAAAAAAAAAACACCGACACAGGTGCCGAAAAAAACCCGCCACCGGCCCCCCGCTCAGTAGTTCTCAGCCTAACCTGAGAGACCATCGACCCCGGCGCTGGGCATAGATATGAGTGAAGGAAAGATGGCCGCCAGTCATCTCTATGCCCTTGGAGGACCGGAGCGATGTCACTTCCTGTTCCGGCCAATTTTTTTTTTTTTTTAAGCATTAGATCAATGCTTTTTTTTTTTTTTATTCCCCCCCCCCCTCCCCCAACCTCTCTCACATCCCATAGACGCAGAACCATTGGCTGATCCAGCAGCATCCGGCAACCGTTGTCTGGAAGAAATCTTTGAGCCAATAAAAGGAGATTCGCCAACCGATGGCCGACTCTCCATTCCGAATCACCTGTGAAGCGGAGCATTTATTGACCAGCTGATAATCTGCGATGGATATCAGTTTCCAGTGCAGAGCCCGGTGTGGGCGATCTCTCGGTGTGGGCGATCTCTCGGTGTGGGCGATCTCTCGCGGCCCTGACCCAGGAGATCGCTGGGTAAATGTTTAACAGAAAGGACAGAATTATTGCCAGTGGGTGAGAGGTGACACGGCGGCGGAGGGACGCGCATCACATGATCTGATGGGTGGGAAGGACAGTCTGATCCAGAGAGCGGAGGAAACTGATAATAATCAGACATGATTGTGCGGAATAGAAATCCCACGTCAGGACAAACAAGACGCCACAAGTAGTAACAGAGGAAGGCCGCCGGGACTTCCACCAATCCCTGCGCTGAAGACGCAGAACCGAGAAAACTCCTTCCGGGAGCGTCGCTGGAAAACAAGGAACATGCCGGGAGAGGAACCTGACTGACCCGGGACCCTGGTCCCTACGTCCACCCTCCCCACCCATCCCTACTGATAAAAACCCATCCCTACTGATAAAACATCCAAAGTCACCTTACAGGGCCACTAAACAAAAGATACATCGTTGGCCCATGGAAGAGTCTTTAACCCCTCGCCTACCGGGCACCGTCACCCCCTTCCTGCCTACCGGGCGCCGTCACCCCCTTCCTGCCTACCGGGCGCTTCTACCCCCTTCCCGCCTACCGGGCACTTCCACCCCCTTGCCCCGCCTACAGGGCACTTCCACCCCCTTCCCGCCTACAGGGCACTTCCTACCCCCTTCCCGCCCCCTTCCCGCCTACAGGGCACTTCTACCCCCTTCCTGCCTACAGGGCACTTCTACCCCTTCCCGCCTACCGGGCACTTCTACCCCCTTCCTGCCCACAGGACGCTTCTACCCCCTTCCTGCCTACCGGACACTTCTACCCCCTTCCTGCCCACACCGGGGACACTTCTACCCCCTTCCTGCCCACAGGGCACTTCTACCCCCTTTCCTGCACCCACAGGACACTTCTACCCCCTTCCTGCCCACCCCCTTCCCGGGCACTTCTACCCCCTTCCTGCCCACCGGACACTTCTACCCCCCTTCCTGCCTACCGGGCACTTCTACCCCCTTCCTGCCTACCGGACGTGGGCACTTCTACCCCCTTCCCGCCTACAGGACACTTCTACCCCCTTCCCGCCTACAGGACACTTCTACCCCCTTCCTGCCTACTGGGCACTTCTACCCCCTTCCTGCCTACCGGGCACACTTTCTACCCCCTTCCTGCCACAGGACACTTCTACCCCCTTCCTGCCCACAGGGCACTTCTACCCCCTTCCTGCCTACCCCCTTCCTGCCTACAGGACTTCTACCCCCTTTCTACCCCCTTCCTGCCCACCGGGCACTTCTACCCCCTTCCTGCCTACCGGACACTTCTACCCCCTTCCCGCCTACCAGGACACTTCTACCCCCCCTTCCTGCCTACCGGGCACTTCTACCCCCTTCCTGCCCACCGGGCACTTCTACCCCCTTCCTGCCTACAGGGCACTTCTACCCCCTTCCTGCCTACCGGGCACTTCTACCCCCTTCCTACGGGCTTCTACCCCCTTCCTGCCTACCGGCACTTCTACCCCCCCTTCCTGCCTACAGGGCACTTCTATCCCCTTTCCTGCCCAGGACAATTTTCAGCGCGCTGTCGCACTTTGAATGACAATTGCGCGGTCATGCAAACACTGCACCCATATGAAATTTTTATCATTTTTTTCTGACAGATAGAGCTTTATTTTGGTGGTATTTAATCACCTCGGGGGTTTTATTTTTTGCTAAACAAACCAAAAACAACTGAAAATTTTGAAAAAAAAAACTAAATTTGTTCTTTGTTTTTGTTATAAAATTTTGTAAATAAGTGATTTTTCTCCTTCACTGATGTTCGCTAATGAGGCTGCAGTGATGGGCACTGATAGGTGGCACTGATGGGCACTGATGAGGAGGTACTGGTAGGTGGCACTGATGGGCAT